CTGACATCAGTTAAACATCTTTACTCCCTAAAATAGAATTATGGAAGGCAAGGAAATGCATTGGAGCGAAATTATTCCTGAATGTAACAATGACAATGCAATTTCCTGGATTTATGATGGGTGCTTTGGGAATTGGCTAAGTGGCCTAAAAGAGTTAATGTCCCTCCCAAAGTGCTTTATTTTAATGTTTGGGAAGTTTATAATCTAGTATACTATGCTGCTTTACAGAAATATCTCATCATTACAGGCCTTCATCCACATGAAAATATTTGCTTTTATGGACGAAGATGCTCTCTCAACAAAAATATTAAATGCAGCAACTTCAAAACTTCCTAAATCCAATCACTTTAAAAATTCACAGCTCTCACATTAAGGCAATAATAAAACATACGTAGGTGTCCATCACCATTCTGGCCAAAGGGCCATTTCACTGGTTGGTTGAACAAGGAGAAACTGTATTTTTTCTTCACCCAATTCTCCATCCCTGCTACTCGCAGCCGCTCTCTGTACAGTGTCACTATCGATCCACCATCACAAGGGCAACTGGGAAAGGGAGAAGAAAGATGACAAATGGTCCACAGTAGAAACAAAGATCAGGTCTTAACTGAGGCCAGCACGGCTGTGCAGGAGCGTTGGCATCAGACGGAAAAGCCAGACTGAACCAGTCAGGAGGGGCATAGAAAAGGTTATCATGATGATGTGGGAACCATCTCGAGAGAGCGAAGAGGACTTGAATTGACTATGCTACCAGGACTCTCGCCACCAATTCCTGAATGAAAAGATGCTACTTTTCCAAAAGAAAGACAAACATTTGTGTTTAAATGATGCCTATAATCTGCTCCCTCGCAAGGCTCCCATAAATCATCTGCACAGGCGGTGCACCCTTCGCGCCAATGAAGGCATTATGGGAGCACCACACCTCCACCCCCTCAGGTGCAATAAATACAGTCCATTATCAGCCGGCAGCAGCGGGTCCAAATCTAGGCCCCAGAAGTTGGAGACAGAACTAAGTGCAGAACAGGATCCAAGTTCAGACGTTCCTTGAAAAGTTTGACTCCAGCTCTTCTGACTTCGTGAGGCCGCCGACTTGGCATGGAAACCTCTTGAGAACATGTTTTCTTACAAAATTTACAAAGAGCTTTGCTGTGAGCCAACAGCTGGAAATGCCGTGAGAGCAGGCGGTCTTGGAGATCTGATTTCTTACAGCATTTTGGCACCTCTGGTTCTGCTCCTGGCAGGCAACCAGAAACCAGAGAGGTAATAAAATATGGTATGCTCCCAGGACAGTGCTGGGCCAGGCTCCTTCCCGGAAAAGGGGTGTCTAACGCCAGGACAAAGGCTGGACCATGTGCTTTGGCTGCTCTCTGTGGAAAGGACGCAAGGGACTTTCCTGGTGACAGGCACCAGGGAAGCTTCCCCTTTGCCAGGTCAGTCAATGCACAGTAGGTTTCTGGGCTGCCCTGGCCAAGCAAATGTAGGTGCAGGGAGGAGTACACCGACAGCCCCTGCAAATAGAAGCTCAATTTGCCAGTTTCAGTCCCAAAGCAACTTTTAAAAATCAGTGTCCATTTCCAAATCATGTTTAAAATAACTGGAAATAATTATGCCAGTTGGATTCGGGAACTGTGGTTCTTCCTGCGTTTATATTTTCCTTATCTTACCAGCTTGATTCCATCCTTTTTCTTGCACCCTTTCCACTCAGTAGAATAAGGGATAGGACAAGTAGGGGCCCTGCTCTCCAGCCCTGGGAAAGGCTGTCCTGTCCACTCTATTTGACCCCTTGAGTGTGCGTCCAGGAGGGACAGACTGAATATCCTTTGAGAAGGAGTCAAACTGAGTGGCATTCTCCACACTCTTTCCACTGGAGAAAAAGCATCTCATGACTCAGGCCAGGGAAGTCCCCACCCCCCCACCCCAGGAAACCACCACCACCTCAATTCTAACTCGTCAACTGCCTAATTACTCTCCCTGCTAAATTTAGTGTCTGCTAAATTTTAGGCTACAGGGAGGAATGAGCAAACTCAAATCTCCTGATGGCCAATTTGTGCCTACCCACCAAATAGATCCGATCTAGGACCACTGTGTTTGCTCAAACGCCAGAGTACTACATGCCAAGACCCCACTAAAGATGACACAATTTAGGCCAAGGTGAGGCAGGAGGCCACACTGACACTTGATTCACTGGAAACGTCAGGGGTAGCGGAGTTGCCAGATACAATGCAGGATGGCCAGTGTAGTCCAAATTTCTGGTAATGAATAGCTTTTAGTATAAGTGTATCTTATGCAATGTTTGGGATATACGTACGTGAAAAAAAGTGATTCATTGTTCATTTGAAATAAAATTTAGCCAGGCATTCTGTATTTTTATTTGCTAAATCTGGCAACCCTAACTTGGGTTCTCTGTTAATAACAAAGCAGCCAAGTCCATCAGTGCCCAGAACGATCAAATTGAATTGGGAACCACAGCAAGTCCCAGTGCAAGGAAGGAGCAGCAAAAATGTCACCTCCAGCTCCTTCCTCTCCCACACTAACTCCCAGGACCGAGGCAAGGTGCTGTGAGACTTGGAAAAAGCTTTCTCAGAAAATTAAGCCAGGATGCCAGAAGCCACGGATGGAAAATAGGTTCAATCTGAAAAGAGCAAATCATACTTTAAATAAGGAAATGTCATTAACTAAAAGCAGAGGGACTGGAAACCACCACCTTTTTGGGATAGCTAGAGGGAAACATGTAACAGGAGAAAATAAAGACTGGGAGAGCATGGAAGACAGAATCCTTCCCCCAGCCTCTTCCTCTGATCTCAGCGATTCACTGCGACTCAGAAAGACCGTTCAGATGGGTCTCGGGTAACAAGGCTCGTGTGCTTCCCTTATGGAGCTTTTAAAATTGTTTTATCGTGATTAGTATTATGACTTGTGTGTAAAGAATACAGTGTCATTTCATATATTTTGAGAGCTTCAGAAAAGAAAAAAGAAGAAGATAAAAATCACTCACGTTCCTGGGCTGAGAAGATAACCACTGTACTTCCTCCCATCGTTGATCTAGGCCTATATACAATTTTTACAGCACTGGAATTACAAAGCATGTAACCTTACTTTGTAGCCTACTTTTACCATTTAATATATTGTGATTGTTATTGCATATGTTTTAATAGTTTCTGAGAACACGAGTTTTAATGGCGACTTAGTATTCTGCTGATTTTAATGGGCCACCATTTATTTAATGCGGTTCCTCTCATTGGATCTTTATGCTGTTTCCGTTTTTCAGTATTACAGCGAGCACCACACAGAATCTCCCTGCACACACAGCTCTGTATGATTCTCTAATTATTTATAGAAGATAAATACCTGGAGGTGAGACTACCGGGTCACAGGGTGTGAATAATGTTAAGATTTTAATTCATATTGTTAATCTGTCCTCCAGTAACACTTACACACCATCTGTAAGAATTTCTGTTTCCTCATAACCTTGCCAAGACTGGGCATTACCTCTTTTCAAACATGTTTGCTAATTCAATCAGCCCAAAATAACTCTCATTATTTAAAATTGCATTTTCTCATTCTTAATGGATGAACATTTCTGCAAATGTTCATTGAGCATTTGAAGGACCTGTTCAAATTAATCCTTTTTCCTGTTTTTAGGTACTTTTCAAAAGTTTTCCTGAATTATAAGGGTTTTATGTATTGAAGAGGATAAACCTTTAAGTAACAATATGCTACAGCGTGTTCCTGTCTCTCTGATAAGATCAGTTACAGTATGATTTGGTATTGAGATCTATCAAATTTTTTATGTAGACAAATACCAGTCATTTGCCTTCGTGATTTCCTCCTTGTTCTTCTTCTCCCGCCTTGAAAGCAGGTAAACATGCAGCCCTCACTGGTGGCCCCTCCAGTTCTCTGAGTGTTTCCTTTTGTTTAAATGAGATTTCACCTGGAGCGATAAAGGGATTCGTTCTCAGATAATTAACCCACTATTTTAAAATCCGTTTACGGCATAACCCAAACTTCCCTCCCTCTAATTAAAATGCCACAGTTATCGTATGCTAAGTGAGTGGATAATGCCCCACCCACTCATGGGCCTGTCTCTCTCTCTCTCTCTTGCACCCACCCCTTGCTGCATAACCTGTTGAGCTTCTCCTAACTACAGCCACACCGTGGAGATGTCCCCGGTTCAATTCCAGGCCACCACAAGAAAGCAAATATCACAATAAAGTGAGTCATACAGATTTTTTTGCTCCCTAGTACATATAAAAGTTATATTTATACTACTATGTTTATACTATACTACTATTAAGGTCGCAATAGCATTCTGTCTTAGAAAACAATGAGCATACTTTTACTAAAAATACTCTACTGCTAAAAACTGCTAGTGATCCTGATCATCCGAGCCTTCAGGAAGCTGTAATCTTTTTGCTGCTGAAGGGGCTTGCCTCCAAGCTGATGGCGGCTGGGATCAGGGTGACGGTTGCTGAAAGTTGGGAGGGATGTGCCAACTTTTTAAAGTATGACAACAGTGAAGTTTTCCACATCAATTGATTCTTCATTTTGTGAAAAAATGTCCCTGTAGCAGACGATGCCGCTGGATGGCATCTTACTGCGATGTCTTTCAAAATTGGAGTTGATCCTCTCAAATCCTGCTGCCGCCTTTTCAACAAATTTTACATAATACTTTAAATCCCCTTCTCACAGCATCTTCACCAGCAGCAGTTTCTATCCTAGGAAATCACTCTCTTTGCTCATCTATAAGAAGTAGCTAACTCCTCATCCATTCACGTTTCATCAGGAGAGAGCAGAAATTCACTCACATCTTCAGGCTCCAATTCTTTTTTTTTTCCCCAGTAGAAATGGCCTTTTTAGTTGTGATGCTAAAAATAAGAGGTTTAAGAAGAGGGAATAAGACAGCCCCCACTCCTGGGACGGTGTCCACAGGTCCAAACACCAAAGGAGAAGCTGTGAGCATCTCAGGGTGGAGCCCGTGGTGTCTCCATTTCTTCCAAGAAACCCTGTGTCCCAGAGCTTGAGTATAGAACTCTTGGGCAGAAGCCGGAGGCACCCAGAAGTGTGATGCTGAGTGGGCTGGAGCCCTTTCCCTCTCCTCCGTACAGAACACGCAGTGAGACCACATGTCCCATGCCCACCAAGAACGGGAGGGTCCCGGGCTCCACTCTAATGCTAGTTCTCTTGCTATTTCCAAGACATCTGCAGTTACTTCCTCCACAGAAGTCTCGGATCCCTCAAAATCAACCTCTACCAAACCCCTCTTAATACTAATATTTTGACCTCCTCCCATGAATCTGGGATGTTGTTAATATCTAGAATGGTGAATCATTCCCAGAAATATTCCAATTTAAGTTGCCCAGATTTATCCAAGGAAACACTCGCTGTGGCAAGTATAGCCTTATGAAATGCATTTTTAAATAATAAGTCTTCAAGGTCAAAATTACTATCTGATCCATGGGCTGCAGAAAGGATGCCGTGCTGGGAAGTATGAAAGTAAAATTCACCTTTTTGTACGTCTCCATCAGAGGTCTTGAGGGGCTGGATGCTTTGTCAATGATCAGTAATAGTTTGAAAAAAATCTTTTTCCTGAAGAGTCTGTCTCCACGATGGGCTTAAAATATTCAGTAAACCATACTGTAAACAGGTGTGCTGTCATCAAGCTTGGTTGTTTCCTTACAGAGCACGTGAGGAAGAGAGTTAGGCCCTCGGAGGTTGGGAATGGCAAATGAGCACCGACCTCACGTAAAAGTCACCAGCTGCTTTGGCCTCTAACAAGAGAGTCCAGCTGTTCTTTGCAGTTTCGAAGCCAGGCATTGACTTTTCTCTAACTATGAAAGTTCTAGATGGAATCTTCTTCAAGTATAAGGCTGTTTTGTTTACATTAAAAGTCTGTTGTTTAATGTGGCCACCTTCATCAATGACCTTAGATCTTCTGAATAACTTGCTCACAATTCAGCATCAGCACTGCTTCACCTTGCACTGTTGTGTTAAGGAGATGGCTTCTTTCCTCAACCCCCTGAACTAACACCTGTTAGCTTCAGACTTTTGTCCTGCAGTGTCTTCACTCCTCTAGGCGTTCACAGAGTTGAAGACAGTTAGGAATTTGTAGAGGATTGGGCTTTAGCTAAAGGGGATATTGAGGCTGGTCTGATCTCTCCCCAGACCCTAAAACGCCTCCATCTCAGCAATAAGATGGCTTGGTTTTCTCATCATTCAGGTGTTCACAGAAGTAACACTTTCAATTTCCTTCGAGAACTTTTCCTTTGCATTCACGACTTGGCTAACCGTTGGGCACCGGGGCCTCACTTTCCGCCCATCTCAGCTCGTGACGTGTCTTCTTCGCTAAGCTTAATCATTTATAGCTCTAAATTTAAAGTAAGAGATTTGTGAATCTCTCATTTGAAATCTTAGAGGCCATTGTAGGATTATCAATTGATCTAATTTCAATATTGTTATGGCTCAGGAACTAGAAAGGCCCCAGGAGAGGGAGGGAGACGGGAGAATAGCTGGTCAGTGGAGCAGTCAGGACACTGGCAGTGTTATCAGTCATTTGCCATCGAATATGGGCCCATTTGCAGTGAAAACAGTTACAATAGTAACATCAAAAGTCTCTGGCCAGAGATCACCATAACAGATGATAATAACAACGGAAATGTCTGAAAAAATTTGGAAATTAACAAAATAGAGCTCAGAGACACAGAGTGAGCACGTGCTGCTGGAAAATGGTGCTGATGAACTTGTTCTCTGCAGGGTCACCACAAACTTTCGATCTGTGAAACACTCAGTGTCCACAAAGTGCAGTAAAGTGAAGCTCGATGGAACAAAGTGTATCTGTGCTCGGCTCACCCTCTCCGCCAGGCAAGTTAGAGTCCATCCTAAATTGGGGAGTGGAATTGCCCTAAAAGCCTGAGTTAAACCAGGGACATCTGGCCTCTGCATCATGCAGAGCCAGAGTTCTATCTCTGTTTCGCCAGCGCATCTTGTACAGCCCTGGAAACCTGCTGCCCTTCCCTCCACACAAGGCCTCAGTGCATCTCACTGGGTTTGCCTCTGGGCTTTAACAAGCACTGATCTCGTGGGCTAGAAATCTTTTGTCTTTTCACTTTCTAGGTAATTATTAACATGATATTAGAACAATCATTGATTTGTTCTTGCTACTACCAAGAAACTCTATTACCTACTTCCTTTAAAATATTCCCTTGGGGTTTCTAGACCTGCACTCATGCCATATGCAAATTTTTGTCACTTCCTTAATCTGACTCTGCCTCCTATCTTATCATACTTGTTGGACCCTCCAGAAGGACGACCGTAATGATGGTGAACTTAATATCATGACCATGTCCCTCACGTTAACTGAAGGACCTCTGGGCGACCCTCATCGAATGTGATCTAACTGCTGACTTCACGTTGGCTTCTTTTCACATCAAGGGACTATTCCCCTATTCCTGGCTTATTAAGTTTTTATCAGAAATTGATGTTAAATTTTATTAGATACCTTCTGGGAATTCATTGAGGTTTTCCTCTTATAATCTATGGATGGGATATATTTTATTAATAGATTGCTGAATATTAAATAAAACATTATTGTATTCCCAGAATAGATCTCTATGATATATGAAACTGTGGATTCAGCTTGTTGTTCGCTATATGTTAGTTAAAACTTTTTTGTTTTCAAGTCAACAGGTACAGACTGCATCACACAGGAGCACCCTCCCGACACCAGCATGCCTGTGCACACACACGTACACACAAACACACACATGACTCGCTGCATCCTCCAGGGAGGTGAATCTGGAACCCCACACCAGCATGCCTGTGCACACACGCGTACACACAAACATACACATGACTCACTGCATCCTCCAGGGAGATGAATCTGGAACCCCACACCAGCATGCCTGTGCACACACACGTACACACAAACACACACCTGACTCATTGCATCCTCCAGGGAGGTGAATCTGGAACCCCACACCAGCATGCCTGTGCACACACACGTACACACAAACACACACATGACTCGCTGCATCCTCCAGGGAGGTGAATCTGGAACCTCACACAAGCATGCCTGTGCACACACGTGTATACACAAACACACACACACGACTTGCTGCATCCTCCAGGGAGGTGAATCTGGAACCCCACACCAGCTTGCCTGTGCACACACGTGTATACACACACACATACACACTACTTGCCACATCCTCCATGGAGATGAATCTGGTGTTTTCTTGCATTTTTTCAAGTTTCAGAATCAAGCCTCAGGTAGTTGTGTAAAATGCACCAGGAAATGTCCTTTTTCCTGTGCTTTAAATCTTCCACACAGCGTCGGAATTATTTGTTCTTACCAGAGAAATCTCTCACCCTCAGAATCTAAAGAACCCTAAACTGATTCTGAAAGAGTGCACGAAATACTAAGTAATAATAGAGAGGGACTGACCTAACAGGTTAACTAGAAAGTATCACAAAACTATAAAAACTAACCCTCAAGTGACTTGAAATTTCTCCCCCTTGGTTATTAGAAATATCCCGTGAAGGTTTTCTCCTTTTTTAAGGCAGGCATGAACATTTAAATTTTCCTCAGAAAAATCTTCCAATTCATTGATAATTTATTACTACTGAGTTACATATACACGGTGCAAAAATAGATGCACATTCTAAGAAAGGAAAAAACGACATTAAAATTATAATACTCAGTGTGTACCAATGACCTTTGCTATGCTGTGTGCTGTATCTCTTGTAATCCAGTGGGACTTGGCATTACCATGTTAGCACAGTTTCCCCTTTCTAAAATGTGTATATAGATTTTGGCACCATCTATGTGCACAGTATTTCTCTATAGTTTTGCATTACCATTACTGATAGTTTTGTTGAGTGTGGTGTCTTTTGTTTCCTTAATCATATTCACTAATAAGGAATATCGAAATTCGTTATTTTGCATATTAAAGTTTTTTCTTCATATTTCCTGAAGCAGACTTCCCAGTGGTTCATCTATTTGGATGTACATCCCTGTGTTTTTAGAGTTCTCCAATTTATCATTTTACTGTTTTTTTGTGTCCTCATTCATTAAATTTCTCTTTTTTTATTTTTTTTATAATTTTGGCTTTCTTCCCAATCAACTACAACCCACTGTCCTGGATTTTTAAATACTGTTGCAATAAACGGTTATGAGGAGCTTTTTACAGTTGTTTATTTTTGTTTAATAACAAACATTTAATATGATACATTCGAACTTGAATTGACTTTGGGCTCCATCCTTTCATTTTTTTTATATGTCTTTGTTTTCTAAATATTCTAGAATTAGGAACTCAGGGATTTTTTTGTCATTGTTATCTAATCATCACTGGGAGAATGTTATTAATTTTAATGTTTTGAGTGTATCACAGTATGTGTTACATTTCTGTTACTAAATTTTATGTCTTTTTTGTGTATATGTGGACATGGTCTATACAGTTTTTTTTCTTCAGGAACTTCAAGAAGTTTTCCTTTGTGATTAAGATATTTTGGTCATCAATTTGTATGACCATTATGGACGGTATCCCCTTTGGATGAGAAGAAGTCCACTTCTTAAATGCTGAAGAGGCTCTATGTATTACATTTTGTCCAATTTTTTTATTTCTCTGTTTACTTTTGTCAACTTGCCTTTTACTGAAAGCCACTTACTATGAAAGCCACTTACTCTGTCTTTTTGACTCCCTCTATTTTTAATTTACTCACCCTCCGTACATATCCGGGCTGACTTTTACTTTTTGTCTGTACAGAAGTAAGCCACTTAAACGCTAATGGGAAGTTCCTATCACCTCGACGTCTCAGTTTATATTTGTATTTACCTCATGTATCTTTATCCAGCCTTTTCCGTCTTCCCTGTTTTTTTATTTTAGATGTGTCCCTTGTCAATAGACTTTAAATTTGATCGCATTTTTCCATCAAATATGAAAATCTGTCCTTGGAGGAATTTGACCTCTTCACGTCTGTCTCTGGGTATGACTCTGTTTTCTGTATTTTTAAAATACTTCCTTGTTGCTTTCCTTTACTCATCTTTTGCTAAAAGGTTATTTTTACTCTTTTTTTCTTTATCCGTTTTCCAGCTGTGAATCTCTTTTTTATTCCACGCGTGGGTATTTTTCAATGTCTTTTCTTAATCACATCTG